GCGAATAGTAAAAACTCGTCTGGTCTAATTCTTGGAACAAAGAAACTTCCTAACGCCATCTAGTGTGGGCGCAGAAGTCACCGGTCAACCCTGGACTTCCTAGGGCCGGTTTCACCACCAGGAATCAAAAAGATGATCCCGAGTTGATCAGGATCAACTTCAGTTTGATCCCGTTGTACGTTTCTCCACGCACTTGACACGAATCAACGTGTCTGACTCGGATCAAATTTGACTCGCAATTGATCCGTCGCCGAGCGGTGGATCACGGCCAGATCAGGAGTTATTTCTCGTCTTGGTCATCTAGCTATTCCAGTTTTCCGTATTTTTTAAGTAAATACCTGTAGTTGGACTTAGATTCAGTATGGAAGTATTCGCTAAGAAAGAGGATTGCGCGTAATATTTGTTGAGCAAATGTGTTTTTTTAAGATAGTATTGTAAATAAAAGTAGGGTTAACACAATTGTATGTTATAATTCTCGGTATTGGGAAGTCAAACTTAAATATATTTTGGCTTCAAATTAGTGTAATTATAAGTATCATTAGTAAAATAGCATTTTGTGATATCTGTATTGCAATTGGCGTGGGATAGTTTTATTGAATACTTTTTTTTAGTGTAGTAATTCTTTCAATTTTTGTTCTTGTTAGGTTAATTTGGGTCGTAAAAATGGAGTATGTTTTCGAATGTCTCAATAAATATTATTATTATGATTATTATTATTATTATTAATGAAGTCATTGAAGATTTATTGTGGGGAGAGACACCACGAGTAATTCCCAAAAGAAGCAATCGTTTTGAAATGTCAGAACGAGCATTAAAACTTTCTTTGTATTTGCTCATTAAGCTTTCGAGTAATTCTCTTTCAACTGGAGAGAAATTGGGCGTAGTCTATGCATTCTTTCCATCTTCAGATGAATCCATCACCGAACAAGAACACTACCACACGCAACAGAACACCACAGACGGAACGAAATGAAATCAAAACAACTACAGCTGACCGCGAGAATACCCACAATGCATTGCAAAATTGTTGCCAACCGCGCATTTTCACGACTGCTCACGAATCAAGGGATCCAGATCAACTTCGAAGTCTCAAAACGTTGGTGAAACGCACAGGGATCAAGTCGGCCTTGACTCCGCGGATCAGGATCACGAAACTCGGATCAACTACGAATTTGATCCTAGTTGGTGAAACCGGCCCCTAGTAACTCCAGCTCAGGCTTGCCAAACAGGCATCTGGCCACTTCGCTCTTGAACGCCTGAGGGGAAATATCAGTGAGGGGGGTTTTTGAGGGAAGATACAGACTAGGGCATGCCCTCAGACGAAAGGGCACGCGAATGACTCAAAACGATTAGACGCACGCGGCGTGCACCGTGCCCCGCTGACGAGTTCCTTGAGAGGGAATACTGCGAAATGGGCACAATATACATATTGATATATCATAAGAAGTCAATTATTAAGTTGTATAATTTTATTATCAATTTATGTGTGAACAAAAAACGTACAAATTTTCCTTGGCTATTCGAGCGTTGTTCGTTTTAAGGAAATAGTTTAGCCGAATAAGAAAATTGAAAGGCGAACTAAAGTAAAATTTTTGAACAATAATTTTGATCAAAAGATATTTTCTGTTCGTTCCTACCCCTATTTCAAAACGAAAAACGTCTGTACATTCTGTTTTTAACGTATTTGTTTCGTACTCTGTGAAGTAAAAATATTCCATTTGACTTTTTTACAAAATTTTGATTGAAAATTCAAAATTTTAAATAATACTTTTCGAAAAACATGTATTTTCGAAATGTCTTTTGTCTTTTAAAGGAACTAGACTGAAACTAACAAAATATTACGTCCGTACATTACTCATGCCCGTCATTTTGTATAACTTTTTACACATTCTACCGTCGTCAGCGTAAAGTTGCGACACCTCTTTTAATACTGCTCTAGAGTTTTTGCCCGTTAAACGTGTTCTTTGGAAAGATTCAATAAATTTAATTCAAGAAAAAAATTCTCACAAATATACTACGAGTGAAATGTAGGAACAATTCTGGCTGTAAATGTGCGAAGGAATGGGTATTTTCTTTGAGAGCTTTCTAAATGCATTGATACCAGTCAAGTTTTTGTATGTTGTTTTTAAGCGCGTGTCCTTCTTGAAATATGTTACTTCACCCTAAAATTGTGATCTGAATTTTACGATGTCCACGCTAAAATTATAAGCGTAAATACAGTGGCGATTGGTGCCCCAACCGAATGGACGTTGCACTTCCATCGAATGACGAAAAAGTAATTTCCAAAATTCAGAACACTAATTGATAATAAAATGTTAGCAATTCATGTAAGTTAATTAAAAACTAAATTAAATAAAAGTATATATTGAAACATTACTTTCATAATTTTATTCGTAGTGTGTAGTATATTGAATGTCATTAAAACGAAAATATATTCCTAACATATTATAACATATTTTTCTACGGGTTTGGCAATCTAAGCACGAGCCGCCACTGAATATAAAAATTAGAATTTCAAAATCCCTCCTTCAAATTCTATTCGCGCACTCGTTTTCAACGCCTGCGAAGGCCGGAAAACAAAAGATAGTCATGCGCCCGGAGTGTAGTTTTGTTGATCCCCGAAGGCGTTTAACCATCCGCCCCGTTCCCTGCCGCGGAGTAGCGCACTCGAGACAAGGGGCAGTGTTACTCCCTTTCCCTCGCCCAAAGCAGGCCGATCTTCGCCGCTCCTTGAGCAGCTCTATTCTAACTACACAATATCATTCAAACATTTTCCCCAATGGAGGACATTATACTTCAAAAAGGAGGATATTTTACATTTTTATAATCGAGCAGCTTACGTTTGGATACCCTGCCTCCCCTGCATTCACTTTTATTATCCACCAAACAATAAGCATAAATAATTTTTATATCTCAATAAGATTAATGATCTATTATGCTGATCATTTATGAGTAAAAATGTAATACTATTCGCATGCATTGCTGATTTTCTTTTGGCATTTGACTTTAAATTATTTTATAAAGATCTAGCTGACTACTGGCTCACAACGGATAAGATTCTTTGGCCAGTGATCTTAAATGTTGAAGCTTCACAAACCGGTTAAACCTTATTTATCATCTTTTAAGGTAACTGATATTATATTTCAAAAAGTGCAAGTGTACAGGGTGCACGGCCAAAATCCGGACAAATTG